TCTCTCTCTCTCTCTCTCTCTCTCTCTCTCTCTCTCTCTCTCTCTCTCTCTCTCTCTCTCTCTCTCTCTCTCTCTCGCGCGCGCGCGCGCGCGTATCGCGGCTGGCCTTTTGGTACTGCGCCCTCCATAGGATGAGCAAAATCGAATGAATCTCGTGCTATAGCGTGGGAATATACACTGCCATATTTTTTTTCGTTTTTTTTTTTTCTGTTTTTTTCGTTCGTCTCACTCCGACGTTCGGGATGCCTGCGCCCGGTAGTCCGAGACTCGGCACGGATCGGCGTACTGGTCGGCCGAGGCTCGGACTCGATAGCTGGGCCAGGTACTGGTGGTTTAAGGAGGTGTTGATCTCTGATAGCCCCAGGGAGAAAGGGAGGAACTCAAATGCAATAGACAAAACCTCTACAGGAGGCAAGGGACGAAAGACCGAGGCCCCAAAGGATATCCAAAAAAGGAAAGACACGGATGAAGAACGACCTCCTCTCGAGGAGGGTCAGTCCAATTCCGCGAGCCTACAGCAGCCCAGTGACCCTGGGAAAAAGGCTGGAGAGAAGTCCTCCAATCCAGATGAACAAAAAAGGATTAATTATGTCCCTCAGCAGATGAACAAGACTCTGAAAAAAAGTAGGGTTCCAACGAAAAAATCCCAGCCCCTCCAGGCATGGAAACTAAAAAGAGCCCAACTTCAGACAAGGAATAAGAAGGGGAATACACCCTCATCCTCCGGGGATTCGTCGAAAACAAAGGAATGGGAAGAAGAGGGACTAAAGGGAAGTATCGGTAAGGAAGGGATGGTCAAGTTAAATGATCAGGGAGGGAAGGGGGAGGGGCAGGATCAGTCGGGTATGAAGAGCTCAGGCTCACAGGATATGGAAATATCCTCCTCCCCTCACCCCATTCCTACTTCTCTACTGGCTGTGGTCCCCACTCCTACCGCCCACCCGACCCCTCTCACGGAGACTGAGCCCCAGCCCAATCTACCCCCCACCCCCCTCCCCGAAAGGGAGGGAGGAACCACGGGTGGAAAGAGCCCACGCTTCCAAGGATAACTTTTACAAACCGAGGTTCGCTGCGATGGTGGTAGTGCCGACCTTTGGTGCGGCAAACACCGATCCTCCAACAAGGCAACGTAAGAAGAAAAAGGGTCAGAAAGAAGGCTCTGAGAGTAACCCACTTCCCCACATGGATCTATCCCTCAGCTTCACAGAACCGGGAGTTGGACAGTCCAAGAGACTCAAGACTAATGAAGCAGGGGCGGTGCCTCAACAGAACTCGGTGGCCTACAATGGGGATAGCCAGAATCACTCTCCCACTCGCAAGAAAAGGCTACAGTCCCTCGAACAGACAAAGAAATCGCTGAGCTTTGCTATGCCTATGAGGACAGTATCTAGAAAAGAGAAAAACTCCAGATGGACTCAGAGGCAGGAATCCTGATTCAGAAGGATCAGAGTGGAAACAACAGTATTCCGTCCATCCTGATCCATTCCCAACCAGAGGCAACGGAGATAATCAGTGCAGTGAACTCAGAGGTCCTAAAGGGGAGAGGAGAGGTAAAAGGCTCCCTACTGATCAATATGAAAAACCTATGCCTTTAACGATGAACAGAGATGGAGATTGGATGTTGACAAGGTGGGGATGATCCAGATTCACACGGTTTCCGCACCAACCTTGGAATATTAGAGGGGTTAGGTACGCAAACCCTGATGATCAGAGGAGAGTAGTAGAGTACCTTGATGGAAAGGATGACTCTTATGTGGCAGAATTTTCTAGCGGGCCTTGTGCCTCACCTTTGTTCTGTTTCATGAAGCCAAATAAAGTACTCAGGTGGGTGCAAGATTTACAAAGATTGAATGTTGTGACGGTTAGGGATGTTGGAGAGCTCCCCAAAGTTGATCAACTCTTTGAAGCATGTGCAGAAAAATCTATTATCTCGCTCATAGACTTGTACTCTGGTTATGACCAGTTTCCAGTTTATCCGACCGATAGACCGATAACTGCAATGCACACTCCAAGGGGACTGATCCACATGAACGTGGCACCCCAAGGATGGACAAATGTGGTAGCCATTGTACAAAAAAGTATGGTCAGAGTTATGCAACCGATCAGTTCACAAATCAATGAACCCTATATCGAGGATCTGACAGTAAAAGGTCCAATGGTGAAAGATGAACAAGAGGTTGCACCTGGCATAAGGAGGTTTGTCTTGGATCATGTCAATGATCTCAGAAAGGTGTTTGATCTGTTACAAAAATATAATATCACGGCAAGTGGAGCTACGTTCCGACACTGCATGAGAGAGGCTACCATATTGGGTTTTGTATGCAATGAGCAAGGTCGTCGCCTAGACACTAGGAAAACAAATAAAATCCTTGAATAACCTACGTCGTTGGAACATCAGCGAAGTGAGATGTTTTCTTACAACATGCGGATTCTGGAGAATATTCATCGAAAGGTTTGGTGCTAAGACTGAATACGTGAGAAAGTTGGTAAGGAAGAACTAAGAATGAGAATGGGGAGAGAAACAGGAACAAGTAGTGAAAAGTTTGAAGAAGGAATTTGAGGAAGGAAATATCGTGCTGAGGGTTTCAGACGATGAAGCCATTATAGAGCGACCCTTCATCATAGAAACTGATGCCGGACCCACAGCCTTGGGAGGAGTCCTGATACAGACAGATCTTGAAAGGAATGAAAGACCTTTGCGTTTTGAGAACCGAACCCTCAATACTACCGAGTGAAACTATTCACAATTCAAAAAGGAGGTTTTGGCAGTGCTACACTGCTTACGTGTCTTTAGACACTACCTCTACGAGAGAAGATTTATCATGAGGGTAGACCCAACTGCCCTTATGTATTCCCTCAAGAATTTTTCACCTACGGATCCTACAATCGCCAGATGACTCACGTACATCTGGATGTTCGATTTTCAGTTAGAGCGTATCCCAGGGGACAAGAATAGGGCTGATGGGTTAAGCAGGATAAAATGGGGAAAACTTGGAGAGGCCAATGAGGAAACGTCACCAGGAGATGGATTCCTGGATGAGGACGATATGCAACTCTATGTAAACCCATAGAAACTAAGTATCAACGACAAGGAAGCAAGGAGAGGAAAACCCATGTGGTTTGTGCCTGCAACTTTTGTAAAAATCGGAGGGTTGGTGTTAAAACCTTTCGTTGAAGAAGACCCATGGGGAGAAAAAAATGGAGAATGGATGACAGAACTGGCTTTAGCAGAAAGTTACAGGTTGACGGACGATCCTGATACGATTGAGGCAGGTACGAGACAAGTGGATCAACACTTGTTGACGATGGGGAGAGTACATTACCTTGTCAACTTGCTCCTGCAAGTCCAGACTTAGAATGAAGAAGAGATAGTAAAGGCAGACGAGATAGTGTTGGGAGACGATCCTGAGTTTGATGAGGAAATGGAAGGAGAGGAGTTTGAACAGGGTGAAATCTCGGAAGATTTTCGGAAGGAAGAATACTACGGGTTTC